AAACCTTATGATATGTGGTGGAAAATGGATGTTGTAACAACAAAAATAATGAAAATTAAAAATATTCTAAAATAAATAAAAGTTCATGACTTTAATAAGCAAGACTACTCTACCGAAGAAAATAAAGAAAAGAAACAAAATTTAATTAATAGCATAAATCAAAATAAATAGATTTTAGATTTTTTGTAATTTTTAGTTTACCTCACCTCTATAGATGATGCTGTAATTTAATGTGGGTCAAATTCATTCCATATATTAATTTAGATGAAGTTTGACCTTAGTAACAAAAATTTTGAAAATATTAAGATCTAAAATACTTCTTTAGAAGAAGCAAATTTTGTAAGGTGTAATTTTAGTTAATCCTAATTTAATAATGTCAACATAGTGGAAAAAATTTGAATGGATCATTATTAGTTAATTGTAAATGGAAAAGCTTAAGAGTTGCTGAAATAACTAAATTTAATGGTCATACTAGACCTGTGTTATCAGTTTGTTTTTCTCCGGATGGAAATACATTGGCTTCTGGTAGTTATCAAGAAGTTCGTCTATGGGATGTCAAAACAGGATAATAAAAAGCCAAATTGGATGGTCATTATGGAACTGTCTACTCAGTCTGTTTCTCTCCAAATGGAAATACATTAGCTTCTGGTAGTTTAGATTACTCTATCCGTCTATGGGATGTCAAAACAGGATAATAAAAAGCCAAATTGGATGGTCATTATGGAACTGTCTACTAAGTCTGTTTCACTCCAAATGGAAATACATTAGCTTCTGGTAGTGATGATAGCTCTACCCGTTTATGGGATGTCAAAACAGGAGAAAAAAATTAATCCTCTGATAAAAACCACAAAGCTATTCTTGCTTAATTTAAGATTCCACTCGCATAAATTAGCCCTATATCGGAAGGTAATATTAATAATTATTATATGTTTAGTTTCTAATTACATTACTACACTTTTTTTATCCCAAAACGCAATATTTCAATCTAAAGGAGCTTTAATCTTGAAAGGAGAATTTATTAATCCATCAGGTATTGATTTAAAGACATTATTCAAACAAAAAGGAAGTTGCTTTTTAGAAGACTTAATGTAAAAGTGAATAAATTACAAACAATAAAAAAAATACAATTACAATTAAAACTCTAATATTTCTTATTATTATTTTTCTATATATTTCACTCATCATCTTCACATCTAAAGCTATGCAGTTCGTATTTTTCAAAGTTTTATTACATTTCAGTAATATGTACACTATATTTATTTTATTATTATTAAAACATA